TTTCTGTGTCTTTTTCATACTGTTGAGTATCCTTATAATCATTACTTTAAACTCTCTATCTGATAAATTGCTTGCCTCCATTTCATCTAGTCCCTCTTCTAGAGAATTCTCTTATCCTTTCATTTGGGGTCTCTTTCTTTGTCTTCACATTTTGGCTGCTTCTTTGTATTTTTCCATCTTAGTTGTTAAACTAATAAGTGATATAGCCTTAAGCTATAATCAGCAGCCCAGCATCACAGGTGGGGGCAGAGTAATTCCCATGGGCAGGACTTTTGCTTTCCTGAGGCTGCTGTCATTTGGAGAGGACTGCTCTGCCTGAGCAAGACGGCTTCTGCAGTACGAGGAATGACTCAGCACAGGGATCCTGGTGCCTGTTCCTTCAGTTCTCTCCTCAGATCCACAAACCCCAGACTCTCTTTAGGAATCTCTAGTCCATTCTGCCCTCCTTTTGCGGGAGCCCAAGATGCAAACAAAATTTTGTGTGGTGGCCTTTTAAGAGGCTCTCTGTGTCTCCAGATGTCTGTCCCTGGTAGACAGAAACTCTGCTGCTTTTCACAGCTGGATGTTATCTGGGTTCCTTTCTGGCTCCAGTGCTATAGGCCAGGGAGCCCAGCTTGGGGTTTAGACCCCACACTTCTCAGGGGGAACCACCTAGTCGCTGAAATATCCCTCTAGCACTCCAGCTGCTGCCCGTGGGAGCCAGCCAGCCCTCTCGCATCTCGTCTGCACTCCCTTAGAATCATGTTGTGGTGAAGTGGTTTATTCTGCCTGTCTGTGGTTATAAGGCTTCGCTCCAGCTAGTGTTAAGTTGGTTATTTTGGGTGATTTCTCTAAAATTCAGTTGTAATTCCAGATTGGTCCTGGGAGGAGGTTAGTGTTAGTGTACTTCCACTTACTCCTCCACTATCTTGGGTCCACTCTTACCCTAAGAATACTCCCATTGACTTTAGCTCCAAAACACATCCCAAATCCACATCCACTACCACAACCCTTCTCCAAGCCACCATTATTTACCTGGACTACGATAATAGGGTCTTGCAGGTCTGCCTGCTCTCACACTTGTCCCCACAATTCATTGCCTAAAATGTTCTTCCTCTGTTGGTCCCATGGCTGACTTATTCTTGCCATTCAAATCTCAGCTTAAATGTCACCTCCTATAAAGAGGGCTTTACTGACATTTTAACCTAGATAGGCCACCCAGTTAATTTCAAGGACATCACTCTAATAATGCTCTTCACAGCATCTACCACTTCTCCACATGAGAGGTCTCTAACTCATTCATTGTTTGTCTTTTCCCATTGGGATATTATGTTCCAGGACAGCAGGAACCTTACCTAGTTGGAGCTCTGTATCCCTGGGATCTAGAACTGTGTTTAGCACAATGTCAGTGTCCAATATTTATTGAATTAACAAAAAAGAGAACAGCTTTGTTGAAATTGATGGTTTCCAGTGGGGAAAAGCCAGAGGATGGGTACATAGAGTGTTGCTAAAATGTGGAGGGCTTTGAATACAGAAGTAAAGGTGTTTAGCTTTAATCTGGTAGAGAGCCAGTGGAGGGTTTTGGGGGAGGGGGTAGACAAGTGACATAATAAAGTATGAAACATTTTTAGGAAAATTCCTCTGGTGGTGGTTAGAATGGATTTGAGTAGGGAGAGACTAGTAGCAGAAATAATAGCAGCTAAGAGGCTGTTAAAATAACCCACAAGTAAGAAGTTAGAGATTAGATTAGATTAGATTAGAGGGGTAGTACAAGAAATGGAAATGAATAGGTGGATGTGAAGGGCATGGTTAGAACTGGGACAAGAGAAATGAAAGGAGGTGACAGTTCAAAAACAGATGCCATGTTTCAAGTCTAAAAGAGTAAGGAACACATTGTACTTCCTATAGTATCTTTCTGCCATCTCTTCTCTGTTCCAGAAATACTGAGCTTCTCTCGTTCCTGTCTATACCATAGCCTCTTCTCTATGCCAGGAACTTCTCTGTCTGTTCCCTATACTTCATTCTCATCCATCCATCTCTAGCTAACACCCAATCAGCTTACTGTCTCTATCAACAACATGTCACTTGTTCCGGGAAACCTGTCCAGAACCCCAGTCTAGACTGGAATCATCCTCCTGTTAATATGGTCAGTTCTATAACTTATGACATTTCCTATGGCACCTACTGTGCCTCTAATTATATTTGTAATGCCTGAATTCATTGCTAGACTGTAAACTCAATGGGGGAAGGTACCATGTTTGTTCTTTCTTGGTGACTACATGCTCAGTCGTAAAAGAGTGTCTGACACATAGCACTCAATAAACGGTTATTTTATTGCTCAACTGACTCAATGACTTCATGGAAATAGGAAAAGGAGAAGGGAGTGTTGGTTTTGAAGCAAATATGGTATGTTTGTATGTTTGATTTTAGATATGTTGAGCACAAGATGACAATGAGATAGTCCAGAAGATAAGCCCTATGTACATTTGAAGCTATGGGACTAGAACTCTTATTCATAAGCAATTATTTGTTCAATTGTATACATATAGCAAAAAAAAAATAGATGCTCATGTCACATTTATAGTACAATGTTTCAAAGAACTGTCAGCCAAATTTACCCTTGCTTTTTATCATGTTTTTACTTAGGAAAGTAATTTGCTTTCAGGAGTATCCAACCTTTTGGCATCTCTGGGCCACCCTGGAGGAAGAAGAGTTGTCTTGGGCCACACATTAAATACACAAACACTAATGAAAACTGATGAGGAAAAAAATATTTTAAGTAAATTTATAATTTTGTGTTGAGTTGCAGTCATAGCCATCCTGGGCCACATGTGGCCCACTGTCCACAAGCTGGACACCCTTGGGTCTTAAATGACTAAAATGTTTATTTCATAGAAAATTTTTTCATGATAACTACATATCAGCATAGCTCTATCAAAGTTTTACCAAGAATGCATGAATCACTTTTTATTCATAGAAATAACCATAATGCTTTAAATTACTGTGAAGGTAGCTATTTTGTTGAATTTAAAAACTATTCCATGAATTATAGCTAAAACCTTCAAAGAACAAATGTGTAAAGCATTTCCTTAAATAAAATGTTATTATTACAAGACAAATCATTGCCTGTCTTTTAGCACACATTCTAGAAAAAGGACAGTGTGATAACAACATTCTTGTCACCATCATACATAGAAAGGTTCTAAATGACGATTAAATAAAGGTCTCTGAGTGGGAATTCTGGTGAAGTATTAACAGGTATGGAGACTAAAATTTAAAAGCCATTTTAATTCTAATGAAAGTCAAGCCTACATTTTCCATCCCTATTTTAGCTTGTCCTCCAGGAGTTAAAAACTGATCATCTATGGGCCCAATAGAGCCCCCTAGATGTGTTTTATTCAGCTTAACATTGTTCCAAAATTTGTTCTTGCCTTTAGATGATGATTATTCTCTCTAGTTTTGCCCTCTAGTTTGACTACACTTCATACCATTCTCTCTTACACACTGGTCTGCCTGGCTTCTGTGTATAATCAAACCAAGTAACAGTACAAAATATAAATTTCATTGTGTTGCAAAACTATCACTTTATATACCCAGTCTGAGAGTGGCTTTTCAACCAAGAGTATGTCATATCCTTTTAGATTCAAATTTAAATACATAAAAATTTCTTAGACTAAATCCAGTAATATCTGAAGTTTGTTAGTGCTTAAGGTTTAGAAAGCAGTTAACCATATTTGTCTCACTTGGTTTAACTAGGGCATGGGGCATGTATTTAACATTGAGACAGATTCTAACAGTAAGACAACACCCTGGGAAGTAAGTCCGCCATTTTGGAAATGTGTATGAACTCCTCAGACCCATGAGCAGATCCTGTTCACTGAAGCATGAGTTGACCAGGTGGCAGGCCACAGCAGCAATTGGCTAAAGGCGCTCCCTTGGGCACCAATCCCAAATCACCTAGTGATGACCCTGGATTGGAGAGGAAAGGAATCTTCTCCTGTCTGGAGATGTTTCCAAGCAAATGTTGTTTCTGCTTTCCCTCTGCTTGTGTTTCTTAAAAATTAACACATTTGTCTTTTTCCCACACAGCATTCATATAAAATCTAAGTGGGTTATGACTAAATAAGATAAACTAAGATTTATTTACCCTTGTATTTATTGCAAATAGAGTGATCTCCACTTCTATTTCTGTTTTTATAGTTGAAACTTTTCATGGTGCAATTTTTGAGAATGTTTTAAATTTGGAAAACAAAATGATCTTGGCTAGGGGGGAAGAACTAATTTAGTTTTCCCTAATTGGAACTGATTCCATTTTGCATTTAATATTATACTTCACAATTTTATCCAGAGCCTAAAAGGCTGGTTGGCTGATGCTGAACCACTCATTTTGATAAGCACATATTTCAGAAAGCTATCAGAATACCATGAATCTCCTCTTGGAAACTCTAGTTCTTAGTTTCACACATTATTTCTAAAATTTTTAAACATGTTCATGTCTCCTACTTCTTTTATAGCACCCAAATACCTAATCTAATGTATTATGTTCAGTAGCTGCTTAATAAATCCTTGTTGAATTAACTAGTATAAATTTTACATGCATTTATGCAGATGCATTAACATCAGCTCTGAATTTGGAACCATATTAATAATGAAATCTCTTCCTAGCTAGCAATAACTATCAATTTTGTCTGTCATCTACTTATTTATTTGGAAATGTCTTATTTGCAATTTTAAGAACAATTCATAGTTTGCAAATGCAATTCATTTCACAAAATAATGAAGTCAGTAATATAAAATTTCTTTTACAGTGAAGTGCTGGACAATGGTATGTAATTTTGTTTGTCTTACCATAGCGGTGATTAGAATTAGCAGCAGAGAGAGATGAATCATGTCGCAGGGCCAAATATCCTTCCAGGAGTTTGGAAATCTAATGAATTACATCACTGCCTACAGTCTATACGGTATGTTTTACGGAGAACTGCTATAACTATGAACTGTCTATTATTCTGCATATACATTACCAGTTCTCAGAAAGGATCTCCGTGACTGTCCTCCATTGAGCGGAGGTAAGGTCTTCTTTTCCTGGCTGACAAATGTATCCCATTTCACCTTGTCACAGCCGCCTAGTTCTTTTACTTTCTGTAAACAACTTTCCAAGTATTCTACTGGGTCTTCGGGCTTAGAACACATCAGTCCATTCAAAAGGCTCTGAAACACAACAAAATGTGCCCACATAGGTTTTAAAACCACCTGTGTTAAAATAGTGTATGTCCCAGTTCTAAATTCTGGGTTGTTCCTCTTCTTTGCATTTGTCTTTTAACAATTAGAGTTGAAATTATGATCTGATTTACTAAGATAACCCTTTAAATTTTTACGCAGTTTTCAGCTTGCCATTTTTGCTGACAATGGACCAGTTTTATCAAAGTGAGTAAAATACAGTGTGTAAAAATACCCGTCATTATTGATCTCACTCCTACCCATCCTTAAAGTCTCTAAGCCTGTTTCTTCCTGTGTAGAATGGAAGTAATAATACCCATCTCAGAGGGGTTTTTAAAGGGCTAAATATTTAGTATTTGTAAAATGCATATTTAGTGCCTGACCCATAAAAAGTGCTCAATAAATGTTGCTTCAGTTACCATTATATCATGTTAAGGAAATATCCCCTGAGTCCTCAGGTTGGCTTGGGGAACTCTTCTTCTCTGTTCCCAAGGTACCCAGAAAAAAATCTTACCTATCATTTATACCGAAATCATTGGTTTATGTGTCAGTCTCCTCATTTAAACTATAACCTTTTAACATGCAGTGTGAGTCTCATTTTCTTTTCAATCTCCAGCCCCTGACTCTTTCCCTGGCACATGGTAGGTGCAAGTTTTCAAACTAGGAAAAACATTTCACTCAAAACATGAAGTCTGAGACTCAAAAAAAATGTTATTTGATATATAATGTCACTATAAGATCCACTGAGGTTACAGAGTGGGGGGGGGGCGGGGAAGCACGATCCCATATTGCTTTTTCTGTTCCTGGTGTCTGGTGTCTGATGTATCACATGTACTAGTTTCTAAAAATGCTACAAATTTGGAAATGCTGACTCCTGGGAACTGGACTGGTGCAAAATACTTTCCTTTAGAGTATTTCACAGAAAAAGCATTTGAGATTTTTATCACCAATGTACATTATTAATGACAAAAAACACACCCTTTGAAAGGCTTACACCTTTCCTAAATACAGTGTTTTACTTTCAAATTATTCTTGTGCAATTTGCTCAAAATTGTAGGCAATTCTTAATAGGTACACTTGTTCTCTAAAATTCTAAATAGTGTAGGCTATAGTGTTCAATCAAAAAAGTTCAATGGCAGATGGAGGGAAAAAACTAACTCAGACATCTACCTCCAGTTTGTGTGTGTCAAAATCTGCTCAACACACATACACACACACACGCTGTATTTAAATTCTCACACTCCTTTATGTTAACATAGTGAATTCTTAGGCAGCGCTTAGTCTTGTGTTTTTGCACGCATTAGCTTACCCAAAGCACTCTCAACCCTATGCAGCATTATTATCCCCATTTTATAGGTTAGGAAATCACGACTCAGAGAGGCCAGTGAGTTGATCAAGGTTCCTCATCTAGAAACTCATAGGCTCAGGATTCCAACTCAATGTTTCTGATTCAAAAGCCCATATAGTGCTCAATATATATCTTGCAAAAATAAAATATGGGATAAAAAAATGGCAGATTATCTGTGCCCCATTTGCATAATCCAACTACAATATGAATTATTTGTCCTTTTATTTTTTTTTTTATCATTACTGTGGCCTAAAATGGATATACTTACTGAACAAAGTTTGTTGTCGTTGTTGTTGGTTTTACTGGAAAATATACATTTCCGCCCTCTTTAAACAAAACTGATTCCCTACAGGGTACTGATTTTAGAATGGGGAGGATGGATTCTACTCCTTCATGGATAATTTAAATCCTTTCTTTTAACAGCCAGCCACAGTCACAGGTCCAAGATAACCAGTAAACACTATTGCTCAGTCTCTTTGAGTTAATAGTTTGATAGATACCTAATTGATAATTTTAATATCTAAAAACTCTGTTTACCTATATGGTAGTTTTTGAAACAGAAAATCCATTTTTGGAAACTTAAAGCATCTGGTTTTGCTGTCTACCCTCATTACGTGGAGAAGAGCCAGGTTTTAGACTTCTGTGACTGCTGTGCACACACACACAGTTTTTGCTGGAGGCCTTTGGAGGTCACCAGCAGTCTTTTTCCATCTCCCATTGTCCAGGACTGCATTTAAGTACACTGTATTACTGCATTCTCCCAAGTGAGTTTACCTCCTTTTCTGGCTGTGAACTACTTGAAAATGTACTCTTCATATGCAGAAAAGACAAGGAAAGGAAAGCAGAGCACCTGAGCAACAGCAGCAGAACCCTGACATTACTTATTAGCATACACAATGTAGATTTTCATGAACAAACTATCAAAATTCTCTGTGGGTTACCTTCCATCAAGGAGGAAAAACAATACCCACATTTACTTATAGGAACACTTTATAGTCAGGTGGCTCTCCTGCAGATGTTTCTAGTTATTCTTTTAGAAGTGTAGGAGTCAAACTGATCTCAGCAGTAGTATTTATGACAAAACCTTCAACTCTTCACCTTCATACTTACTTTTTGAAAATAAAAAAACAAACAAAAAGTAAAATTCTTAACAAGAAGTCTACATATCCGCAAGACCTGCCCTTACACAGCACCTCTGGATTATTTTCAAGAACGAGTAACACACTTGATAGGCTTGGGGCTTCACATACCCGGCTGTGTTAAGCGGATGGTTTACCTGGAAATCTTGGCTAGACTAGAAAGGGTGGCTTACAGAGGTGAAGAAAAAAATGAAGATCTGTAATTATGGCGGCCAATGTTAAAGATAATTTGGAAAACAGAGACAAAATTTTTTTTCCCAAGTGGTGTCTTTTAAGATTTCTCTTAACAGAAGAAACCTCTCCAAATAGTAAAAAGGGCAACTCATAACCTTTAGGTAACGATATCAGTCCATCGTTACCACCTTTCAGAAATGGGGAGCAAGGTTTGCAGTGAATGGATTTCTCCTTTCAGGTCTCGCTCTATAAAGCTTGGCTCAGTTCCATTCTTTTTCTTATTCCTTTTTTTTTTTTTTTTTAACCCAAGCAAATTTTTAAAATTCAAATACTGAGAGAAGGAAAAGGAAGCAAAACGGTCAGCGACGGAGACGGTGGTTTAGAACTAACCAAGGTTCCTTTAGTTCCTCCAGCCTCCTCTTCCACATTCTCCAAGTGTCCCCGCCCCCGCCGCTTCCCGGCCCCTGGTGCAGATGCTGCTGTGATGCGGTTTTAAGACACAGCAACAGGAGGAGACACGCCCGTCTCGCCGTCCCCCTCCGACCCGCATTCTCGGAAGGGTTGGAAAGGGCTGGCGAAAGCTGCGGCCGGGGAGGCGACGAAGAGAACCCTCCCTTCCACGGAGACGGAAAAACGTGCTCAGGAGTTCATTCACCGAAAGCGCAGAGCAGCGCTGGCTGCCTGCCACCCCGGAGGTAGCGCGGCACTAGATGGGTTTGGATTTGTTTTTGCATCTTCATCCCTCTGCTCCAAGCTGTCCCCGGCGAGGGCTGCTTTCGTTCACTCCTCCCCTTCACAGCGGGGACCCCGGCCCTCGGCGCGCGGAAGGGTTAGGGCTCGTGACCCCTCCGTTTCCAGTCCTGGCTCGCTCCTGGGCGCCCGCGCACCCACCGAGCCTGGCCCTACCCTCCAGAAAGCACTGCCGGCCGCTGCCTGTAGCCCACCCAGGGTGTCCACTTCCGAGCGGGGCAGCCTGCTTCCAGAACCCGCTGGAAGGTTGAAACTTGATCTGGGAGGTGCGGGATTCTGAGCCCAGCCAAAGGACAAGGAAGGACCCCGGCAACTCCCAGAAAAGGAGGCTCCCCCCTGGGCGAGCGGGAGGGTGCGCTTCTGCTAGTCCCTTCACTTCCCTGCCGCGTGTCGGCAAGGCGGGACGGGGCGCGGCTGCCTCACGCCGAGCCTCCGGGGTGCACTCCCTGATCCCCCCCATCCTCCATCCGTCTGCCAGCCTTAGCCCCTTACCTCGAAAAGCAGAGGGATTTCCCTCCGGGCCAGATATTCCTTGGCATCGTTGGTGTTCATGGCTGTGCCGCGCGTGCCTTGGGCGCCGGCGGGGAAGCTTCCGGGCTGCGGCTACCTGGGCTGGAGCTGGCGGGCTCCGCGCTGAGCAAGGTGCAGCCCGCGTTCTCACGCGCCAACACACGCTCAGCTCTGCCCTTCCAGGCCAGGACCCCCGCCGCCTCTCCCCGAGGGCTGTGGTCTCCGCGCTCCCTCCGCCCCCGCCTCGGTTCTGGCCCCCGCACCCTGGCTGCGGGCTTGGAGTAGCGGTTTCCCGGACTCCCAGGCAGCGCGGCTGTCAGGGGAGGGGCGGAAGGAGTGGAGGAGGGAGGACCGAGCGGCGGACGCAAGGCAGCAGCCCGCCCGCCTGCCTCTCCCGCTCGGCACGCGGCGCTCTGCGCCTCCCGGAGCCCTGTCTGCCGCGGCGGTCAGCCCGGCTGCGCGGGCGGGCGCGGGATGCGGGGGTGGGCACGCGCCCGCTACGGGCTCCCAGTCATACCCCTCCCTGCGGTCCCGGGGACACAGCAGCTGGGGACCAGGTGACCAAAGGAGCAGAGTGGGGGGGGCTGTAACAACCTGCGACCTTTTCTCCATACCTTCGTCTGCACACACACCCACACACATCCCACCCACACCCCCGTGGTTACTCATGCGTCCCTAAGGAACCCCCAGGAAGAAACCTGATTGTCACAGAACTTACTATTTATTTCTAAGATCACGGTCTTTCATAAGAAGAAGCTGGGGATAAGGAGGAAAGAGGGAATCGAGGTGTGGAATCCATGCCCTTTAGATAAGTTTCAGATCTTGGGTATTTCTGTCTTTCAGGAGAGTTTTGCTAGCTGGTTTCAAATTTTTTTTACCTGTCAGTGTCCCAAGTCCTTACGGATTTTAGTATAAAGCCTTAGAGTAGCCTGAAATCTTAATCAACAAAAGGATTACTAAGTAGACAACTGATAAATTTTCTCTGTAGAGAGGAATGGGAAGGGAGAGGGTAAACGCGGATTGATAGTGGAGAGCTTGAAACCGCTGCAAGTGGAAACGTGATTAGTAGGTGGGGTGGGTGGCATCATTAATTAGATCTGAGGAGTGGGCCATCAGAGCGCCCCAGGGAGAGTATGAGTGGGAGCATTAAGGCAGCGATGTAGGTAAAGGATCTTATTGCAGACCATTACCAAGGTGTAGCCATCTTTCCCCTACAAGATGACTCACTTCCTCCATTAAAATATTTTTTCATTGACCGTTTGAAAGGTGGTCCATGCCACCCTAAGAATATGATCTTTAACTGTGTGCAGTGCCTGACTCTTTGGGAGGGTGAGTGAGAGAAAAGGAGGCTCTGATCGGAACTGACATCTGGGGTCTGGCCAGAGGGAGAAGCAACGCTGCAACGGTTTCCAAAAATCAGTGTCCAATGTCCATTTCAAGTTCAATCTTTTCTTGGTTCTCTTTCTCCTCGTGCAAACATCTGCTTCTCAAGCTTCCACTGTAGCTGTAGTTTTTGTTTTACTCAAGGGAGGAAAGTCAAGAATTGAATTTTGTAAAGTAAATGAAGTTTCTCTGAGCACTTGTGAAACCATGTGTCACATGATAGTCTTAAATGAGGCAGGTGCTCCAGTTCCGGGAAAATGGGCCTCTGCCCTCAGAATACACCACATCCCTTACAGCCCCAACTTCCATTTCTTTATTTATGGTAAGTAGTGAAAGCATTGCCTCTTCCCTATGCAACTGTACTTGAAAAGTACCAGTGTCTATGGCATAAAGGCTTACTTTGTGAACAGGCACAGCTGACGTGAAGCACTTTAAGACTGAAAAGGCCACTTTCTGCAGGACCTATCAAGGTCATCCTTTACAGAAGAGAATGGATATGTGATTCTAAATGCACATTAATGTAGTTAAGCGAGAATGGCAACTTGCTTGTATAAAGAAAGTAGGTAAGAAATGCTGCATTGCACTAAACATTCCCGATAGCCTGAAAAACATAGTAACTGGAGATATGGCAGGTTTTTAAGTAACCTTATGTACTGACAATCAGTACTTTTTGGTGTGTTCCAGATGTACGGAAGAGACAAGATGTTCATCATTACTTTTGCAAAGGGAGTGGTGGCCTGGTAGAGAAAGGGTATGTGATGCTTACAGGAGAGGAAAGAGAAAGGACAAGGAACAACAAATATACCCTTACCATGGGAAAGCGGGCCCACTCTTCCCTGGTATGAATTTCTAAGGATGAGTGTATAAAGGGTTCATGGCCCTTTGCCCTTTGTTTACTTGGGGGTGCAAGTGCTAACAAATCAAGATGCTTGCTTCATGTCTGGTGTCTCCACATAGAATCTCTCCTGCTCCCATGTCGGGAGAGAGTGCTGGGTTCTGAGATACTGCAGTGAGTAAGACAGACATGATCCCTGCTGCCCACGAACTTACATTCTACTGGAGAGTGCATGTGAATAAGCAAATAAAAATGCATAAACAACGTTAGGTAGAGATAAAAATAACCCCCCAAGACATAAGAACATATCAGATAACGATTAATCTAATGATGAAAATCAAACAGACTTAACTGTTGATTTGAAGCAAAGAGGCAGGGTTCGGATTTATTTGCTGAATGTGGCAGAGGAAGTGGGAATGGGGATAACCATGGGGACAATAACTAGAACTTTCCAACGGTCCAGACATCCTTGAGGAGGAAGATCTTGGTGGGAATGTTTCTCTTGATGACTCCTAAAGAGGACTCACTGCTGACATAGAAGCTGTGTATGTCTCAGCAAAGTGCCTAGCCTGCTCTGTCCTCATTAATCAAGTGTCTGTGAGCAGCGGTCACGCTCCATCCACACAAAGAAGGTTCAAGGGCTCTCTACCCAGGACAGCACTTCCCAAAACCCACAGATGGCTGGAGCCTATGCTTATACCCTCATCCACTCCTAATAGATACTTATGCTACTGTAATTTAACTGGGGCCAGGTTAACTATAGGAAATTTTAGCAGTAAAGTGCTCATGTTGCAATTCCTTCCCCCAGGAGAGGATCCTAGTGGGATCAGGTGTAGGTCCTGATGCAGTTGATAGTAATGATGTGATGATGGGTTTGGCCATAATACAAGGTAAAAATATATTGAGTGTTTGTTAGGAGTCAAGCACTGTGATAAACACTTTGTAAAGTATTTACAAAGTATGTATATTACATATTTATGAACTTGTATGTCATATTTGTATATTACATATTTATGAACTTGTATGTCATATTTAATTTTTAATCACTCTGTAAGATATGTATTGTTCTCGTTATATAAATGAAATAGAGAGTCTAACTTCAAGATAATACTAACAGTGTCTGCCCAACGGCAAAACCCTATGCATCCACATCTCTTAGGACATCTTCATCATATTTTTTAAGTTTACAAAGTACTGCAAGAATATTACCTTTGTATCTTTCAGTGTTTTCTAAGGGTCCTTCCATTCTTCCTTTCCTGTTTCCTTTTTTCCCCCCAGTGGATGTCCTTCTGTGTTTCAGTTGTGTGTGTTATTTAAAACGCAAGCACAACAAACCATGTATAAACAAGTTTATCTCAGTAGATTTTCTAATTGTTCAAAGTCCTTTTCTGTTTGAAAGTTTTTGCTTGGTTCAGAGGATGAACAGACAATACAACATTTCGATTTATTGAATTCTTGAGTGTTGACTTTTTCTCATTCAGCACACAAACCCTGATTATTCTCTTACCCTCACTAATTGACAACCTACTGGGCCATTTGTATATTCTGGGCAATTTGTAAATATTTTGTTTACCAGGAAAACTAAATATGTGTGTACATTGTCCTGATAAATACACCCCTTGTTTACATGTATTCTTCTTAGGAGGTCTCTCTGAGGCTTTTAATTTTTTGTTAATATGGAGTGTACACACTGGACCGTGAAATCTGGGATAAATGAGGGCTGAAATAATGGTGTATAACACAATTCTTTAGCCAAAGCAGAGTTTCCCTCTGCTCCATTTCTCCACCCTGGCTGAGGGGCTGAGCCAGACACTTGGGTTCTGGACATTAAAGACCCCTAGGAATTTTCGAGTTAGATGGAGTTAGAGTTAAAAGATTTTAAACTCTCTCCCAATGTCTGAAAGCATTAGGAAAATTACCAAGTATGTAATAATATATATAAGAATAGCTAAGATTTGGAAAATACCACTTATTTATCTGTTTATTAATTAGTACATTCATTAATCAAGCAATTATGAAATAACCTTTTAGGTCTCAGGCCTATGTTTGGAGTTGGGATGCAAACAACAAGACTCAAGAGGTTCACTGTCTAAAAGAGAAGAGATAATTAAGCACAAATAAATGTAATAATATGTTTTAATATGATAGTAGATATGTGAAGGAAGTTTGTTACGGTGGGGACATAAAGGTATATGACTCATATAAATACGTATATGGTAAAAAGCATTTAGGAAGTTTTAAAAATAGACTTTCTTTCAATGTTTCTTCACCACCGTCAAAAAAATTATTCAGTTTTTAGCCATCCTCCCTTCCAATCCCCACCCCCACACCCCAGATACATAGCTTTTGAGAAACATTGTTAACATGCAATCACACACATTTCCTTGCTCTGTATCAGGGGTTCCCAACCCCAAATTCTTGCTGTGGTGAACTGTGCCACACAGCAGGAGATAAGGGGAGGGCAGGCAAGCAAAGCTCCATCTGTATTTACAGCCACTCCGCATCGCTGGCGTGACCGCCTGAGCTCTGCCTCCTGTCACATCAGTGATGGCATTAAATTCTCATAGGAGAGGAAACCTTTCTGTGAACTGCATATGCAAGGGATCCAGGTTGCGTGCTCCTTGTGAGAATCAATGCCTGATGATCTGAGGTGGAGCTGAGGTGGATGCTGGTGCTGGGGAGCGGCAGCAAAATACAAGTTATCAGCAAAGAGGTTTGACTGCACACAGACCATAATAAAGCAGTGCTTGCTCATCAAAACTCTGTCAGTGAGTGGCAAGTGACAATTAAGCTGCATCTGGTGGTAGGCTTTATTGTGGCAAGTGAGTGATGTACTTCAGTTGCACAGCTAGTTGAATATATTTAGGCTTTAAGTCAGGATCTGACACTTATTTTAGTCCACATGTTGGCTCGTCCATTATTT